TGTTATCTAATGGTGAAATAGCTCTCAGAAATAAATACGTATTTATTTATTTATTTATTTATTTATTTATTTATTTATTTATTTATTCACGGGTAACCCCATTAAAAAAAATACAATATTAATTAGAATAAAAACAGCAAAATAAATACTTAACAAAATACTAAACTAATACTAATATAGGTAATATAAAATACTATACAAAATATAAAATATAACGGCATCAAATAACAATTATAAAATCAGTTAGAAAATGAAGACAAAAAAAAATGTTAGACTTCCATATTATTTAAATAAGTCCTGAGAGCATTAATAGTTCCAAAAATATCACAATTTTTACATTTCAACTTATTACATTCACGTAACATTCGACTTACTGGTGAATTAAAGGCATAATTAGTGGTATGTAGTGGTATATTAAATAAGTCGAATTGTCTAGTCCTACTAAAGGTATTAAAATTAATAAGACCTACTGCTTGGGGAGAATCAATATTCCCTGTTAACAATTTATTTATAAAAATTATATCAGAAACTGTTCTTCTAAAGTGAAGTGATTTTAAGTTTAATTGAGAATTAATTGAAGCATATGAGTAATCTCCTCTTATATAACCCATTTTATAGGCGCATATTCTCAAGAATTTATTCTGAATAGTCTCAATTTGATGCTTATGAGTATTGTAATATGGATTCCAAATAATCGAACAGTATTCTAATTGTGATCTTATTAGAGAACAATACATCGTTCTGAACGTATAAGCAGAAAAATCCATGGATGACCTAGAAATGAAACCTAATAGTTTTGATGCCTTTGCTGTTATCATATCTATATGTGCCTGAAAAGACAATTTACTATTCATCATGACACCTAAATCTTTAATGGTATCAACTCTTGACACACTATGATTGTTAATTTGATAGTCATGTATGATGGGTGACAAAATTTTGCTAAAAGATATACAGAAGCACTTCTTAATATTTAGATCCATTTGGTTTAGATTGCACCATATATTCAGGGAGTCAAGGTCTGTTTGCAATTCAATTATATCAGAATGTGAATTAATAGATTTGAATAACTTAAAATCATCTGCAAAAAGTAGGTATTGGCTAAATTTTAATGTATCACAAATATCGTTAATAAACAGATTAAATAGAATAGGTCCACAATGAGAACCTTGAGGTACACCTGAAGGAACTGTAATCTCATGAGATACAACACCCGCAATTTTCACGCTTTGAAAACGATTTGTTAAATAACTTTGAATCCATGTCAGCATGACACCCGATATTCCAATATTTTTTAGTTTGTTTATAAGAAGTTTATGGTTTACTCGATCAAAGGCTTTTGAGAAGTCTGTATAGATCGAGTCAACTTGTGACTTATTTTCTAAAGCATTAATTATGTAAGTGTTGTAAAGCAAGAGATTAGTCACTGTTGACCGACCAGGACAGAAACCATGCTGTTCATTAATGATGATGTTTTTACATTCCCAAGATAAGAACTTACTCATGAGATAATCGAATGCTTTAGGAATATCGGACTGGATACAAACAGCTCGGTAGTTTTCAATTTTCTCTTTTGGGCCCGATTTATAAATTGGTTTCAAAAAAACTATGTTTCCAGAAATTTGGAAAGACTCCTGATTTAAGGGATATGTTAAAAACGATTTTTAGAGGATTAGCCAAAGTATAAATGCACTTTTTTAAAAAATAAGTTGGAATCCCATCTGGACCATGGGAAAATTTCGATGGTAGACTGTTAATTTTTTCCATAATGTCGATTACATTAATTTGATAGTTTGATATATTCACAGTATTCTTAAAATTATTTGAAGGTAAATTTTGTACATTGTCGGTAGAAAAAACTGATGAAAAGAACTTGGCGAATTCATTCACAATGCTGACAATATCATCGAAGCTCTCAGAGTTATTAGAGGTCATGGATTTTGGAAGATCATGGGCTTTTCTTTTGTTATTTATGTAGCTCCAAAAATATTTAGGATTAGTGTTAATATTATTTTCCATCTTTCTGTTATATTCTTTGAAACAAACTTCAGATAGTTCCTTGCACCGCCTACGTAAATCACTAAATAGAATATAATCGTGGTGTTGATTGAATAGCTTGTATTTCTTATGAACTCTTTTTTTTTCAGCTACTAATTTCTTAAGTTCAACATTAAACCAACAAGGAAAATTGGATAATGAATATTTTTTCACTGGTACAAATAAATTGAGTGCCGTATAAATTTGGTCATAAAGAAATTCAGTTGCTTCATTAGCACCTAACAAAGACATTTCATCCCATTCAACGTCTGCAAAAAAGTTGTTAATGCTGAAAAAATCTGCGTTTCGAAAATCAAAATACCACTCTTCCGCAATGTGATTTAAATGGGAGTCATGGGTTATTATATTAATTTCTAAAGGCTCATGATGTATGCTTGAGGGAAAAAGAGGATCTAAAGCCTTAGACACAATTAAATTTTCAATTTGTGAAAATACCAAGTCTAACATTTTTAGTCTAGAATTTGCAATTACCTATATAAATACATAAAATGGTGTTAAAAATTATTTCATAGGCCATTTTGCACTTTTAAGATGATTTTATTAACAAACAAACGTTATTAAATGATCAGTGCTGTAAAAATGCATATACTCCTGTCAGAAATATTCTAAATGACACAAGCGTACTAGAAAACAGCAGAGTATTATAGATTATTTTGAAAATAATAAGATTTTGCTAAATAACAATGAAAATGAATAAACTGACCCCACATTTTTACTTTCCTATCTGTATACAGATATAAGGAAAGTATAGGAATCATGATTTTTTTCGACCTCGAGTTTTCGACTGATTTTTACGTTTTGAGGTCCCCTGAATCCGTTTTGACTATTTTCGCGATGATGTCTGTGTGTGTGTGTGTGTGTGTGTGTGTGTGTGTGTGTGTGTGTGTGTGTGTGTGTGTGTGTGTGTGTGTGTGTGTGTGTGTGTGTGTGTGTGTGTGTGTGTGTGTGTGTGTGTGTGTGTGTGTGTGTGTGTGTGTGTGTGTGTGTGTGTGTGTGTGTGTGTGTGTGTGTGTGTGTGTGTGTGTGTGTGTGTGTGTGTGTGTGTGTGTGTGTGTGTGTGTGTGTGTGTGTGTGTGTGTGTGTGTGTGTGTGTGTGTGTGTGTGTGTGTGTGTGTGTGTGTGTGTGTGTGTGTGTGTGTGTGTGTGTGTGTGTGTGTGTGTGTGTGTGTGTGTGTGTGTGTGTGTGTGTGTGTGTGTGTGTGTGTGTGTGTGTGTGTGTGTGTGTGTGTGTGTGTGTGTGTGTGTGTGTGTGTGTGTGTGTGTGTGTGTGTGTGTGTGTGTGTGTGTGTGTGTGTGTGTGTGTGTGTGTGTGTGTGTGTGTGTGTGTGTGTGTGTGTGTGTGTGTGTGTGTGTGTGTGTGTGTGTGTGTGTGTGTGTGTGTGTGTGTGTGTGTGTGTGTGTGTGTGTGTGTGTGTGTGTGTGTGTGTGTGTGTGTGTGTGTGTGTGTGTGTGTGTGTGTGTGTGTGTGTGTGTGTGTGTGTGTGTGTGTGTGTGTGTGTGTGTGTGTGTGTGTGTGTGTGTGTGTGTGTGTGTGTGTGTGTGTGTGTGTGTGTGTGTGTGTGTGTGTGTGTGTGTGTGTGTGTGTGTGTGTGTGTGTGTGTGTGTGTGTGTGTGTCTGTGTGTGTCTGTGTGTGTGTGTGTGTGTGTGTGTGTGTGTGTGTGTGTGTGTGTATAACGCATAACTCATGAACGGATACACGGAAAAACACCAAATTTCAAACTTAAGCTTTGTTCCAGCGTCTAATGAGCTGATTAGATTTTGGGCAGAGTCGGAACATCTGGGGGGGTACTTTATAGGTGGCCATTTTTATATTTTATTGAATATATCTGTTATTTACGTTTGGGGAAGAAAATTCTTCCAATGAAAGTTACTTCTTATTTTATTATCTATAATTTTTGTTATATACAAAATTTTCCTAAAATGGTCCGTATTCGCGAAATTTGACAAAATGTAAAAAAATATTTTTTTTTATAAAAATTGTTTAAACAAAAGTTGTTTGTAATATAATTCTCTATAATTTTTATCCTATAGATAATTTCTCTAAAATGGACCGTATTCAAGATATTTGAGAAAATGTGTAAATTTCGAAATTTGAAGAAAACTCAAAAACGGATAAAGAAAAAAACATTAAATTTTAAACTTAAGTTTTATTTCGGCCTGACGTGAAATGATTAGATTTTGGACAAAGTCGGAACATCTGGGGGGGTACTTTATGGGAGGCCGTTTTTATATTTTATGGAATATATCTGTTATTTATGTTTGGAGAAAAAAATTGTTCAAATAAAAGTTACTTCTAATATTAATATCTATAATTTTTGCTTTATATAAAAATTTCCTGAAATGGTCCGTATTCGAAAAATTTGACAAAATGTGCAAAATTCTGATTTTTATGAAAATTGTTGAAATAAAAGTTGTTTGCGATATCGATCTCTATAATATTTGTTTATACATGATTTTTTTAAAATGGACCGTAATGGAAAAATTGTAGGAAAAGTGCTAAATTTAAATTTTTCAATATTTTCATTTTCAATGAATATCTATAGAAAAATGTTTCGCGGTAGATGTATGTGGACAATGTATATATTTAGTTTATCCTCTAAACATTTATAGAGATGCTGCAATAGGTTGTACAAAATAACCGGAAAAAGCCTGTAATAACTAGATAGGAAAGTCATGTGTTGGACACATCAGATTTTTTATATCGTTAGAATGGGAAAATTTTTGTCTTTTTTTGTGTGCCACAGCTAACTACCCGTTCCATAAAAGTTTGGCCTAAAAATTTTGATATTATTTTTTAATATGTAAATAGGCACAAGAAATGTATTTTAAATGATCGGTTAAAAAAAGGTTCTGTCATATTTCAATACACTGAATAATAGCCATAATTATATTCTTTCCATGGCTAACAAAGCTGTCATTTTTATCTACTTTTTATTTTCAGATGCTTCGGCATTCGGCGTTCTCGAAGAGATAGAAGAGATAAGGCCGGTAGTTGGTGGAATCTCTGGTACAGGAACAACCTCGCGTTACTGGGATTGCTGCAAACCAACATGTGCTTGGCCTGGAAACGTAAAATACAAAAAACCAGTCAAAGCATGCAAAGCAGATGGATCTAATGCCAACGATCCCGAAAACCAATCAGGTTGTGTTGGAGGACAATCCTACATGTGTACCAACCAATCTGGATACGTTAAAAATAATACTTTAGCTTACGGTAAGTTAATATTTTGATTAAAACCAAAGAAACCATCTAGAATTATATTCTTCCTTCATTGATGTGATACTTAAATTATTTTTTAGGTTTTGTCGCAGCTAAATTCGTCAATGCAGGTGGCAGAAACATGTGTTGTTCTTGCGTTATGTTCACCTTCAACACAAAATATCCTTCCCCTTTGAACGGCAAAAAAATGTTGGTCCAAGTTACCAACACAGGAGAAGACGATCCAGACGCAGACCACAACTTATTTGACATTGCAATGCCTGGTAGTGGTGTCGGCTACTACACCAAAGGATGTCCTGGCCAGTGGCATAATGACGTCAGCGTTTGGGGTGACCAATATGGAGGAGTTAACTCAGAAGCAGAATGTTACAAGCTACCTAAACCTTTGCAAAAACCTTGTGCGTTCAGATTCCAATGGATGTCCGGTTACTCCAACCCTGATGTCTCCTTTTACGAGGTCACTTGTCCAAAAGAGCTTATAAATATTAGTGGATGTTCGCCAGTAGGATATTAAGTTAGTTTATTAAATATTTTTTTATTAAATTTTTTTTATTTACTATGTGGAATTTAATTCATATCCCCAAACTTTCAGTTAGTTACCATTATTTCTAATCCTTATGTACAGAGAATGTAAGATTCAAAATAAGCATCAAATTCAATATGAATCCACAAGCTATGGGATTGCCTATTTTTAGGGGCATTAGACGTCACACTAATGTAGTTTACTAAACGATTTTGCTATATTTTAAAGTTTTGTGTGCGAGAAAAAGTTATATCTTCTACAACAGGCCTGCATAACTGAGATTTTCAAAGGGCCAGTTCAAAAAAACCGTAAGTGTACGAGGGCCAAGAACTGATTGTAGTCGAAAAATACGTTGATCTTGAGGCTCAAAAAAATTCATTTATACACTCATCGGCAGAATTAACCTCCCACCCAATGTTTTGTTATTTAGTTGGAGATATTTGTAATTTTGATTTTTTTTTTTTACTTTTTAATGTCTAAGTACAGGATTTTTCATTATATTTTGACCACTACTTATTTTCATTATTCTTGTGAACACGAAGAAAGTTCCAAGTAAAAGCTTTGTTGTTTTTCCTCAACTTTTTCGGCCACAGTATAACCCATTACAAGCAATCAGTTGACAACTTTTAATAAACAAACAACTATTTCACTTGGAAACATCATTTTCATAGACATCTATGAGTTACGCTTTCATAGTGTAATAAGTCACTAAATAATTAAAATATTATATATTTGTAATCAGGAAATGAAAGTTTTCTTAAAATGACAAAAATATATAGGGTATCCCATTAAAAAAATTAAATTATATTTTTTGTATATACAATTTTGCCAGTTATTACATTTTTAAACGGTACGGGTAAAACAACAAAGCTTATACTTAAAACTTTTTTTGTATTCGCAATAATAATGAAAATAAGTAGCGGTCAAAATATAATGAAAAACCCTGTACATCTTGAAAAAGCAAACAAATACCAAACAAATGAAAGCTTTTGTTTAATTTTAGAAAATAAAAGAAAAACAGTTTTTGAAAATTTTGACGAAAATCTACGAAAATTTCAGAAATAAATAAAAATAATTGGGTGGGCGGTTAATTCTGCCGGTGAGTGTAGTTTATTTTCAAAAGTTGTTTTTTTTGGCACAGATTACCTTAACCAGATATGAAAGTATGCAGAGGCATCTTTACCGGCTCCCTTACAGCCGATTTCGGCTTAAGGTGCGCGTTTGTTGGACCATGATAATAATTTATTTATTGTAATTACGAAAAACCGTTAGTTGGATCATTGAAATAGTTAAGAAATAAAACTACAAAGAAAAATAACTTTTTTTTATAAAGCAGTCAAAAATATGATGAAAAAATCAATATTTATAAATGGGACAAAATTTTTATTTTTCTTTTGGTTTTGTCTGACTTTTTCGAGGATTTCAAATCTCTGTTTGCATATTTAAGAGTATAAAAAATTCTGAGTCTTATAAATAATTTAATGGTGTACATTTTCGCAAATTGTTGGCAAAGATGACCAAATTCTATTTTGCTCATCTCAAAAAGGTATGCGTTGGAAATTCCAGGCTTAGTTGACAAACTATCAAATAGAGATATAAATATTTTTTCTAATTTGAAAATATAAAAGAGAAATTTTTAATTGCCAAACGCACCTTTTCTTCAGAGTCATATACTTTAAAATGCGTTAACAAGTTAGAATTGTTAAGTAAATTGCATTCTTCTGAGAAATTTACGCAAAGAGTGGATATGTAATGATTTTTTGATTTAATAGCCACATACATAGTTAAATGCATTTTGAGTGGTCACATTTAGCTCCCTGTACTCATATTCAGAAATCGTTATTGCCCCAACTGATTGTTTTGAAATATATTTAATTTTCATTAAGCGGAGAACTTGTTTTCCTAAGGGAAAAACGAATCCCGGGATTCCTTTTCAGTGTGTGCCCCACTGCCGCTAGTGCCCACGAGCCGCCACTGGTGGAATGGGGATAAAAAGTTTTATCACATTACCAAAAAATAAGAATTCTTAGGTATCTTTTCTAGGAAATTTGAGTAGTTCACCCTTTGAAAGGTTGTTCATTTTATATACATTATATTTTTATAAAAATTGTACCTTGTCCACCTATGGTACACCCGGTATATATATTTAATTAAATAGCTAAATTTAGAGATATAAATTTATAATTCTTCTGCATTGAAGTACTGAGATAAGAATAAAAGTATTTAAACAACAAAATTACTAAATATTGTTTGATTATCAAATATGAAAATCGCACTTGCTTCTGTACTACTTTTGGCCACATGTAAGTAAATAGTACATTATATACCTAGGGTGAGAAGTGAGCTATTATTTACCGAGCACTTTTATATCCTGAGGCGCGTAGCGCCGAGGGATATAATGTGCGAGGTAAATAATAGCTTTCTCAGCCGAGGTATATATAAAATTTTTTTTACTACTAACATTAATGTATTAGCAATTTTAATTTTGACATAAGTAATTTCCTAACAATTTGTTAAATATTTCGAAATATCAAGCAGACTGGAGCGTGTTTCTAATCAGACTGGCTTTATTTATGTAAAAATTTGGCATGTGTCAAATTTTGGTATGATTCTAGGAAATATCCCATTACATTTTTGATATTTTAATGACATGGATTTATTGTTATTAATTAATAATTTTTAAAGCCGGTGTTGAATTTCCTAGTTAATATATATTTTTACTATTAACACTGATATATATTATCATATTTGATTTGATTAGATTTTAATAAACCCAGCTTTAGTTATTTCCTACTTATTTTTCAAATATTTCAAAATATCAAGTAGTCTGGGAGTTTAGTTGTCAAATTAACAAAATGAAACTAATGAAATTTTGTTTCATTATTTACCTAGGTTTTTTTTTATTATCATTATTTACCTAGGGAGAGAAATATTACTTCTCATTAGAGGAATGGAGTAAATAATGGTGATTTCTCATGTTAGTAGTAAAAAAAATACGTTAATAAATTAGGTATCTGCAATACTTGTAAAAATATTAAATATATTTTTTCTTCCTCATGACTTTAAGATGAATTGGCAGTGCCACTCACACTAAAAATGGTACTTCAAAATTGACAGAAATGGGCTTGCGCATTTCAATATTTTGAAAATAATATAGATACCCTGGAACACGCCAGATTAGTGTGATGTCATTTTGGTTCTACTGACACTTACTTTTAACCAAACTTTTAATAAAAACATCATTAAATTTGACATATACGTTCTTACTGTTTTTAGTTTTTTTTTTTAAATATTGTTTATAGGTCATAAAAAATAGTTTAAGGGTACTCAATGGGTAACTAAACAATTGTATATTTGATGCATGTTATCTACTTATTTTAGGAAGATATTTATAAAAGTGAAAAAACGATATAATTTAGGTAAACAAATCGAACAAAACGCACTCAAAAAATGAACTGTCACTTTAATTGTCAGTGGAACCCACGTATAATTAATAATATCTGTAATTAATAAATAACCTTAGATAAAAGAGACCAGAGATATAACATACACCGGTTTTAATCCTGCGCAAATGTTGCCAATTTCTAAAGAAGGGTTAACGGAGTGGGGGAACTGGGCGGCGACACGCGGCGACCCGAACTCTGTGACAGGGACCGGACTTTGTTTATTAGCAACTTAATGAACTATTAGGTTTATTTAAAAGGTGTTTAATCGAATTTTGTATTATGAAATCAAATTATCGTGATTTTTTAATATCAAACAGATGCCACGACATTTTATGTAAAGAGAAGACCTTTTATAGAATATTTCGTTAGCGTTTATTTACTACGGACTTTTCTGCAAGAGATTACAGTAAAATGTTGAAATAGAATATATTGTTAATAGAGCAAAAAATGTTACTCATTGTCTACGAGTATTATAAAAATAGCATGTGCGCAGGCTAATACTGCAAATCTACCCTTATGAGTTGAACATTATATTTTTTCTACGGCTATTACATATTATTAAAAATTAGTCAAAATGAGAATATGCTGTTTTGTATTGTAACCTCAGAAAAAGTATATTAAGGCTTCTTTCTTTAAGAATATTATTTATTATAAAGGATGAGTCACATAAAACTCTAGAAATGCATATGTCTAAAACCAGATAACATTTTAAAATTTAAATCTATTAAAAGTCATTTGGTCGCTAGGGATGAGTGATTATCGAAATAAATTATCGATAATTGAAAATAATCGATTATTTTCGATCAATAGATTATTTTCAAACAATATATTTTTTGTCATTTCCTTTAAAATCGACTACTTGATTATCTTTGAAAAATCAAAAATAATCGATTAATTAAAAAGCCAATTAACCGATAAATCAGTGTTTACAAAATATAATATAAATAGAATTATCGTTTATTTTAAATAATCGATTATTTTCAAATAAACCATTTTTTTTTCGTCCATGGAAACAGATTATTCGATAATCTTTGAAAAATCGAAAATAATCGATTAATCAAAAATAATCAATTAATTAAAAAGTCGATTAACTGATAAATCGATTTAAAAAAAACAGAATGATCGATTTTTTTAAATAATTGATTATTTTCGATCAATCGATTATTATCAATAATCTATTTTTATTGTATTTCCTTTAAAATCGTTAATTCGATTATCTTTGAAATACCGAAAATAATCGATAATTCCAAAATAATCGCCTAATCGAAAATAATCAATTAATTAAGAAGCCGATTCTATGATAAATCGATTATTACCAATAATCTATTTTATTGTATTTCAAAAATATTCGATTAATTAAAAAGTCGATTAACTGACAAATCGATTTTCAAAAAAAACAGAATGATCGATTATTTTAAATAATCGATTATTTTCGATCAATCGATTATTATCAATAATCTATTTTTATTGTATTTCCTTTAAAATCGATAATTTGGTTATCTTTGAAATACCAAAAATAATAAATAATCCCAAAATAATCGCCTA